GAGAGAGAGAGAGAGAGAGGTGATATTTGATGAGAGAGAGGGAGATGTTGGGCAAGGGCAAACAAGTAGGTTGAGTCAATAAAGAAAAAAAAAAAAAAAAAAGGTAAAAGAAAAAGTTAGGGAAAAGTGGGTAAGTTAGGTCCCCATAATGAGTTTTGTCAAACATCACATGCATTGGCTTGAGCTCAACAAGCAGTCTCTCTCACATACATGGAAGAAGACATCCGTCATTATTGTTGGATAACCAAACCAAGTATGCACCACAATGACCAATGTAGAGAGAGAAAGAAAAAGAAAACCCCTCTTCGCCTCTCTTCTGCTCTCCTCTCTTCTTGCAGGCCTTCTTTTCTTTCATCTCTCTCTCTCTCATCAGACAATCCACAGATCCCAAACAACAAACTCTAACTTCCTTCCATTATCATGGGCTTCAAACCTTAAACACAGGAACCCATATCTAGTAATACAACTATCCGCAAAACCAAGCTCGTGAAACAGTTCCTTTTTCTATATAAATCAAAAGGTAGAAAAGCCTCTCTTCATATGCACAAATTTGGGCAGGCATTCATACTGGCTTCTCCTGCTCTTAGATCCTTTACTAGAGAGAGAATTTCCTTGTTTCCTCTGTTTTTTCAGGTCAGGTAACTGGATCTCTCTCTCTCTCTAGGAGACTGCAAAAGATGGCCATTACATCTACTTTGAAAAGTCTCTGATTTGAACTATTCACCCTTCCTCCTTTCGTTTTACAGTCCAAGAACAATGTAATAAACAAGCGTAATTGGCAAAGCAATCAGCATTCCAAAGATGACCCTGATACAAAAAGGAGAGTACAAGCCATGAGCGAGAGGAAAATAAGAGAGAAAGACAGAGATAGACTCACCCTGTGCTCAAAATTGCAGGATGGACATTGTATTCTTTTGCAAACACAAAGGGGACAATGCCTTGAGGAAGGGCAGCCTGTGAATGAATGAATAAATTATATCAATGTAAGGAGAGCGAGAGAGAGAGAGAGAGAGAGAGAGAGAGAGAGAGAGAGAGAGAGTATGTTTCGAGTATCAACCTGGACGATAGCCACATGAAGGAGTTTACCACGAAGGCCGACAGCAATGGAGGCGGCAGCCATTACTGCAGGGCCAGTGAGAAACCTAACTGCCATCGCAAACGCAGCAACAGAGTTTCCACATGCAATGATCTTTGGTTGCAAAGCCATGAACAATCCTATTAAAAAAAAAAAGAATCCATTTACAGTTTTTAATTCAAGCATTTCTTGACAAGATTAAGAACCAAAGTCAGAATTCAACCTCTATAAATTCAAATATGCAAGAATCAAAGTGCAAATTCAACTGTGGATACTATTTTGCAAGAAATAGAGTTCAAATTAAGCTACTGGTGAGAGTGTAAAAGAACTACAATTGAACTTCAACCTCAAAATTCAACTTAAGGAACTTCATTTTACCTAGACTAAACATGGCCATTCCCAAGCCGGCATCAGAGAGAATGGAAATCGATTTCTTGACAATTTTCGGCATGGCGACGTCCCACCTTCAATGCAAGAAAATAAGAGGAAATCATGGATACGAGTAAAGGCAAAACAAAACAAAGGAACTAAATTGAGGAGGCAAGAAATAAGGAGAAAGAAGCTACCGTACCTGAAAGCAATGAGGGACCATATCAGACCAATGAGGCTCGAGTAAGTGTTCGGATTTCGGATGAGCTTCCTCCAGACCATAATCAGTATGAGCCTGGTCATAACACTTGCTGGAGGCATCTGCTTCTTCCGCCAATCCTCTGGTCCAGGCTTCGGGTGAAGCTCGACAGTGGAGCTCGATCCGAATTTGGAGAGATTGGGACCTTCTTTCTCTAAGGGAAGGGATTCCTCTCCCATTTCGCCCATTACTCTGTTGCTGAAGCTGAAATCTTCTCCCTCATAATCGTCTCCACTCTGTGGTATAGCTGCAAAAAGAAAAGAAGATAGAAAGTTTTAGGGGACAATAGCAAGTGAAACCACATATGAGAGAGTGAGAGAGAGATGTAGAATCATCAAACAATGCATAATGGGGTAAATTACATCCTGAAAAACTCTACTCATCAAAGCAATGCAGATAGAGGGAGAAAGTAGTCCTGTAAAAGCATCAAGCAAATTTTAATGGGGCAACTGCATACTAAAAACTGAGAGACAGAGAGAGAGAGAGAGAGAGAGCGAGAGAGAGAGAGAGAGAGAGAGAGAGAGAGAGAGAGAGAGACGTACGTACGTACGTCGTCCGGTCGGTCGGTACGGTCGGTACGACGACACGACTACGTACGTACGTACTTACTCGTCGTCGTCGTACGTACGTCGTC